ACATATTCATGTACACACAGACTTTTTCTGAAGTCTGTCTACTTATTTTAAAATAATATAGCACTTTTTTTTCTGTACTTTATCCGCTTCCCCCTCTTTTTTTTTTTTCTTTAAATTACAACCCAGAATTTTACCATGCACATTGCATAGTACCTGGATATTCTACAATGGGGTTCGTGTCTTTTAAATGTCATTTCACAATGTTGGGAGAAATTCCATGTGGAATCATTTTCTCAGGCTCAAAAAGACTTAAGATTGGAAAGTTTATTTATGTTACGTGTCCTCATTAAAAATAGGCACAGCAAGGAAAACCAGAAAGTGTAAAAATTTGAGTTTCTGGGGAGAAATTTTGTATCTTTGTAGTTAAAATGGCTTGCTCTTAGAGATTCAGAATTTCACTAGAAAGCACATCCATTATTTTTTGCATCATCAAAGTGACATTTCTATTCCCTATCAGCTTTTTCCTCTGCAAGATTAGCACATGCTTGGTGTGAACTGCAGACACTTTTTTGAAAAAAAAAATTGAGACAAAGTGGGTTTTGATGAGAGGCTTTGGTGAATTCTTAATCCACATAGCATGCTGTTTGTTGATTTTCAGTTTTAATTTAATTAAGACAGCTTTGGGTGCACCCATCATGCTGCTGAAACAGGAGTTGGCTGAGGAACTGTGCTCCCCCCCCTCCAGTTTATGCATTCCCTGTATATTGATATATTTCAGTTTTTTAAGTGCAAATGGGCTAGTGGCACTTATGGTGACATTGATGAAGTAACAGGAACCTTTATTTTCCTTTCAGAAAAATATCTGAAAGGCTTGTGGATATTAACAAGGGGTTTTCACAGAGGACAGATTTCAGGGATTTATTTGGGCCGAAGGCACACAAAACAATGGATTATACTAAAAGTTTACTGGGTGGGTTGAATTTGTTATATATCCCATGAAACATTTATTAAAATTCTGTTAATTTGCAAGGCAGGGGTATAAGCTGTCTGCCTGGAAAAGATTTAACCATTAGCATTTTGTTCTTGTCCTTTTCTGCCCATGAATTCTAGCTGTAACAATTTGGGGGATGTGCTTCTGCATTTCAGTCACTTTAGCCTCCTTTTAGAAACATTGAATTGTTTAGGTTGGAAAAGAGCTTTAAGATCATCATGTCCCACCATTTTTTGGTGTTGCTTTTCTCTTTTGCATTCTCAATCTTTTAATTAGTTGACTGTAATTCTTCCAGGTCTTGGACTGTGAGGTGTTTAGAGGCTTTTGACACAAAGGAAAAGCGTTGAAAGATTTTTTCATTGGTAAATTCCTCCTCTGGGGTTGGATGTCTCACTTTCCCCATGTGAGACACATGAGGAGCCTCAGTCAGCAAGTGGGTTTCTCTTGCCAGGGTGTTTCAGCAGAACCAGTGAATAATGCAGCAGAACTTTGCAAGGAGGCAGTAGCAAAACCACTGCTTTACCTCAGCAGCCCGCGGGCACGGCTTTTGTGTGCACACAGCAGCTTCTGAGTGATGTGTGCACAAAGGAAGAGGAGAGAATGAACAGAAAGTAGTTTATGGCTTTCCTCAAAGGCACTTTTCTAACTCAAAAATATAAGCCTTGTGGTTTACATGGTTTTGAAATGTAACCACAGATATTGAGAACTGGAAAACATTTGATTTACCATCTCCTCCAATTTTGATACCAGATTCAGGGTAGAGGAAATTTATTTTCAGAATGAGAAATGTTGAAAGGAGATACAGCAATGTCAATGTTTTTAAAACAGGAACATACCATTTGGAGAAGCTGTCAGCTGAAGCAACCACGGGCGTTTGTGTCTTGAAGTGGGTGCAGATGCATCTTCTTGAGATCCCCAGCAAAGTCCTATAATCTTGTTTTGGTGAAGCTTTGCCAGCTATTTTGTGGTCTACAACTCCCTTTTCTGAAGCTTTGAAGGATCAGTGTCAGACTGAGCCGTTTCTCCTCAGGCTTGGACTGAATGGGATCAGCTGCCCGGGTCATATCTTGGCCTCTCCGGCCAAGGTGGACCTGGCCAGGCTTGGCTGCTCACAGCTAGGAGCAGAGGCAGCTGATGCTCTCCTACTTGCCACACTGGGTTTTTGCACTATTTTACATGGGCTCATCCTAATTTTGTTTGTTGTGGAGATTCTGGGTGTCCTTAGTGTGACATACAAAGGTGTTTCTCTGGCCTCTGTGACCTGTCCTTGCTTTTGCAGGCACTGTTCTGTCACTGTTTCAAGGTGTGTATCTTAGGAATTGCTGTTTCTTGCTCCTGCTGTAGTGTCTAGAGGTCACTCCAGTATTTTCCTGTTCTTGTCCTCTGAGCTGAGCCCAGATGCACTTGTGGTTCAGTTATGACCGTTTGGCTTTCAGCCGCTTTGTTTTGTTCTTCCTTCCTTCATATTTCTTCCTCTCTCTCTTTTGTGTTGAGCAATTGTCTGCTCTCCAGATTTATTCCCGAAGGCTTATGAAAGGCCTTGTAAGGTCCTGTCCTTTTTCCTCAGATATCCAGGCATTAGCTTCCTGCTGCTTCTATGGTTCTTTCTTGGATGTGGATGAGCAGGAACCTGTCTGGTATTCCCATGGGAACAGTGCTGTTACTGCTTCACTGTCCATGCCAACAACACTAATTTTTCACACTTTAGGAATACCAGGAGAACCATGAGGAGACCAGTCACTCAAAGAGGTCCTGCAGGAGAGAACAAAGATGAATCGTTCATTTCTTTCAGGAGCCAAAATGCTGTGGACCTTCACGTTTCTATATTTTGTCCTAGCTAGACACAGTAGCTCGAGATCCAACATGAACTGCAGCATCTTTCCACTCTGGTGGGACTAGGCAGAAGCAGAGGGTCGCTTTGTTGTCTCGTTTATGTTTGGCTCCAGGAGTGACTGCTTGTTGGTTATCTTGTTATGTTTAGCCTCTGACTGTGTTTCATCCTTAGAAACTTGGGAGGCTTTCCAGGCAGGGAAGCAAACAGCACTGCTCTGCCACGGCGTGCTGCAGTGAGTGGCTCCGTGCTATCTCTCCTTGCTCAGTCCCCGTTCTGGAGGACTGGGTGGGAATCTCCTCTTTCTTACCCACAAACTGAACAGAGAGCAAAACCTTTGGGGCAGGTCATGCCAGAAGATGTGTGGTTGTCCTCCCTGTGGTGGACCTTTGCCTGGCCCAGCTATTGGGTGCTGGGCTGGCTGCCCAAGAGTGGGGGCTCGGCAGCACCCCGAGAATGATCATGGAAAGATCTGTGGATCATTGCAGGTGTGTTCCCTTCCAGGGTTTGGGGAGGGGGAAGGTTGTCTCCTGCTTACCTGTGCTTGCACCATGGCGTGCTGGCAACGTCCTGAGTCGTTGAACATTTCCTGGAGGGGTGGTTTTCATGCCTCTGAAGATCAGATTTCAGTTACAGGGAGGTAAGGTAGGGAAAAGTCACGTAGGAAAAGGGCTTGTTTGGTTGATGGGGGTTTAGAAAGCTTTTTAACAAGTTGAGTTATTGGCTGTATCTGAAGTGAACCACTGCTCTCCTAACTGCTCTCATTTCCTGTATCACTCCGGCTTGGTCACTGCATTAATTACAGCCCAGATTTACAGTGTCTTTGGTTACACACTGGGCTGCATTCTGGTTTTTTTTTTTCCTCTGTGTGTATAAAATTCTTTGGGAGTGAGGCCAAGAGGAGAGTGTGTCTATAGGCCTGCACACACACACACGGGCTGCATTTGTTAGTTCCTAATTTTGTGGGGAATAGGGATCTGAATTTTCTTCTGGTTTGAAGGAGACACAGTAGCTGAGAACAGCCAGTGTTTGGAGAAGTCAGGATTTCAGAACAGCCAGAGACGAGAGAAAATATTATGTTATGAATTGTGAATGTGGCATTTTTAATTTGGCTGGTGTTTCTGAGAGGTTTGTGGGTAATGGGAATCCTCTCGTTCTCTTGGCTCAACCAGTAATCGCCTTGTTACTCAAAATCTTCTATAAATGCAGTGCTTCAGCACTGAGCTGGGTGAGGGAGAGCTTTTCACAGCTGAAGTAGCTTTTGGTGACCTGAAATATGAAGTGAGATGGGATACTAAGCAAGAAATGAGCTATTTAGGAACTGTGGAGTGCAGAAGGTGATTGAAAGGATGTTTCCTTTTCAGCTTAACGTTTTTGGCTTTATGAAGACAAAAGAGGAAGTGCCCTAAATATACAAGGAGTGTTTTTGGAGAACTCATTCAGATTTTTAAATTCATTCTTCACATTTAAACTGTTGATGCAGTAGAGGATTTTCATTCAGAACATTCTGAGTCACGGTTTCGTACAGAAATGATTACAAATTAAATAGAACCAGATATCAAAAATGTGACTGCTTTTAAAGTGGAATATTCCTGAACGTTGGGTTCAGAAATACTGGGAAGATGAATAATGGGATGATGAATAATGCTGGGATGACAAATGGTAACAGATACAAAGAACTGAATGCCAGGTTCTCAGATAACTGGGGGAAAAGTGAGAGGAAAATTTCCAAGTAACCTTCTTTTGAAATAACTGACCACTCTTTTTTTAGCCTTGCCACCAATCACAGCAGCATGTCACCTTCCCATGATAGTCTTGTCCAACCTGTGCATGGTGCTTTACTCTTCTAGGACCATTTTGGTTTGATATTAAGAAGGGGGAGTGGGAGGGACCAATGGGGATGGATTTGATGCGTGGCAGCAACATGGTTTAGTTGTAAATGCACTGATGCAGCTTCCCAGTGTTTGAGCCCCTGTGGGTGTTTAGTTAAAGCCACGCACGGATGGTGTCTGTTATTTTGTTAGGATTTCAGAGTGGGGGATTTTAGTGCTTTAATCCTGACTGACAGTTGGAGGGTTGGTGGTTTCAAACACAGTGGCATGGAGTGGCTGATTTCTCTCCAGTGAAACAATGCACCAGTGTGTCTGGGCTGCCCGGACAGAGCCAATAAATCTGGTTTGTTTTGTTTTTCTCCCTCCTTTTCTCTCTCTCCCTCTCTCTCTATTCCCCCTCCTCCAGGCCAAGACCCATTCCTATTGCTGAAAACCCTTCAGCTTCTCTGGACAAAGGAAGAGATGGAGAAGGTAAGACTGAGGCTCCCCTCCACGCTGCAGTTAATAACTGCATGCAGATCATGTCCAGACACAGAACGCTTAGGTCAGACCTGCAATTCTTCACGACTGCTTTCAGTTCCAGCACACAGGGGAAAAGCCTGAGCATTTGCAGCAAGAGCTGAAAAGAAAAGGTAGCTCTGTGTGATGTGAAGCAGCTCAGGGGCTCGTATAAAAGAGCTAAAGTTTACAGGGCTGAGTTACAGAGGAGAAAAAAAAAATCAAAGTTGCTTTTGTTTTCTTTTAAACACTTTTTTTTTTGTCCATTAAATGAAGGATCTTTGGGGGAGGGAGGGGAATATTTCTTGTAGCTGAAAAAAATGAGGGTTCAAGTCAGTAGAAAAGTGTTCTTTGCCAAGTGGAATGATATCAAAGCCTTTGTATTCAAAGTAATTTTTACTATTTTTTTCTGATTTGGTTTTGGTTTGCCTTTTAGAGTGGTGAATGCAATTTACACTGCCTGTCTAAAATTAGTGTCATATTTTTATACAGCACCCTATGGGCTCTACGTGGAGATTTCTCATAGGGAGTAAAATAGATTTCATCTAAATTTGGGAGCTTGGAAACTAACAAAACCACTAGAAGCATCAGCTTGGTGGTGAGTTTCCCATGCCGAACTCGGCGTTGTTCAGGCAGGTTCACAGCCAGGATGTGTTCTACTGAAAGATCCCAAAGCTGCAGCTCACCACACAGGCACGTGGGCTGTGTCCTGTGTGAGATGTTCGGCGTGGCTGAGTACCTTGGTGTACGTGCTCCATCCTAGGTGTCTGGAGTGTTTAGTCATTGTCCTTGTCTCCCACACTGAGACTTTCCATTACCAGCAGTCTGTGGTTCCCAGCTGGAATAATTGAACAGCTGGGAACAGTGTGAGAGGTGCCTTTCCAAAGGGTCCCTCACCAACACAGACTCGAGCTCAGCAACTCTGAAGCCTTGAGCTTTCTATCGAGTTTTGTTAGAGCTGGAGGAAAAATAATATTATTTGTTAGGTCTTGAGGGCAATTAAACCCACAAAACAACAGTAGGAAAGACTAATCATCAAAATCTCTGCACTGTGTACTCGGGGATGTCTCTGAAGAAGACAAAGCCTCCTATCAGTGTGTCCTTGGGCAGAGAGCACCACAGCTTTCCTGCAAAGTGGAAAAGCCTGAGGATCCCCATGAGTCACCCTTGCAGCTCCGTTTATTCAGAGTGTTTGTTTCTGGGGTGGTGGTCCCAGTGAAATGTGGTTTTGCAGAGCGTGCAGGCTGCAGCTCCCCAGGGTCAGGCCTGACCCCCTGGCAGCACCCTGTGGCTGCAGGCAGGGGCAGAAGCATTTCTGAACCTGGAGGATGTGCTTCTGAACCACGGGGAAAGCCTTCTGAGAGAGAGAGAGGAGGGGACTGTGCTGGGACCAGGCTGTGGCGGGACCAGGCGGTGGGACAGCAGCAGCTGCTTCTGAGGTGGGGAGCACAGCATGAATGTCCTCAGTGGGTTGACACGTGCTCATCACACTGCCACTGGGATGGGCTGGTCCATGCTTGGGCATCGCCACCCTTGGACACACAGTGCACCCACAGCAATGTAGACACTTATTTCAGAGGAGGCTGCTGCTGTACCCTGTGTGTCCAGCTCGAGGTGTGTGCTGCTGCTGCTTATGTCCCACTGTGCAGTTCAAATACACGAGGGAAGTTGACTTTATAGAATAGCAACATTGAATCATTAAGGCTGGAAAAGTCTTCCAAGATCATCAAGTCCAACCAACACTGCCATGTCCTGGAGTACCGTGTCCACACGTTTTCTTTAACACTTCCAGGTGGTTTGACTCCAGCACCTCCCTGGGCAGCCTGGGCCAAATCCTCACCACTCTGCCAGGAAAGAAATTCTTTCTAGTATCCAATCTGTATCTCCCCTGGTGCAACTTCAGCCCATTGCCTCTTGCCCTCTCGCTGGTTACTTGGGAGAAGAAACCAACCCCCACCTCACTCCAAGCTCCTTTCAGGGAGTTGTAGAGAGCCAGAAGGTCTCCCCTCAGCCTCCTCTTCTCCCGACTGAACCAGATCCCTCAGCTGCTCCTCACAAGCCACGTTCCCCAGACCCCTCCCCAGCTTCTTTGCCCTTCTCTGGACAGTCGACTCAGGACTCAGTCTGCTCCACTGACATTTGAGTGGCAGGAAGCTCCTTTGGCTTTCGCTGTGTGAGAGTCTAAGTCAATATTGGCTGTAAACTAGTGTGAATCAGCCTGTTGGTCTCAAATCAGTGACCGTGAGCAGGAGGATATCTGTCCATGGTGTGACCTCTGTTCTGGAGCATGATTCTAAGAATTGGTTATTTCCTACATAGGGAAGAGAGTTTTGGAATAACCAAGAAGAGTCAGGAGACTGCCCTGAGCTGCATAGCTAGAAATAAGGGAACAAAGCTGAATGGAAGAGTGTGTAGTCTGAGCATCAGCAAAATTTTCCTATTCCCATGATCTGTCAGGCTGCAGAAATCCCCCAAGGAGCATTCCCTGCCATGGGAATCAATTGAAATGGAAATGGCAATTACGAGTCTGAGAGGAATCCCTCTCTGGCAGGGCTGGGCCAGGCAGCACAGCGTTCTGCCCTCTCTGGTTTAGGTGTCTCATGCCTTTCTTCTCTGGTTCATTTCCCCCCACCCCCCCCTCTTAAACTATACATACCCTGGTTGTTGAAGTCTTCAAATTTCTAGAAAGTTTTGAAGACTTTTCCCCTGCTTGTCGAAGTCTAGCTGGTGTGGAGCACAGACTCAGTCTGGATAACACCAGTTCATGCTCCTGCAGTTGGGTCAGCATTTGGAGCCCAGGGAGGAGCTGAGCAGTGTGGTGGAAGCTCTTGTTCAGTCTAAATGGGCTGAAGTGGGGCTTTGGGAGGGGGGAAGAAAAAAGAAGTGAGGCCATTTATAAACAGTGCAATTTAGCTGGCGAGTTGCTTTGTTTTCCTTTGGCTGTTGTGCTGGATGTTTGTGGTTGGATGAGGTTTTGCCTTTTCCTTCTGCTGAGTCTTGCAGCGAAGCTGGAGCCCTATGTTTAACATCACAAATTCCTGCCACAGGGAAAAGTACTTACAGGGAGAAATCTGTTATCTGAAGTCACATCTTTGTTAGTCATCAGCTTTTTCATACAGCGTTTGATAATCTGGTGAGAAAGAAACAGTTTCTGTCGTAAACGATAGGTTTTGTGGTTTTTCCAGACATGAAAGACACTACGGAAAATAACTGTCTTCCAGTAAATATTGTTGATGAATAAAATAGAAGAAATTCATTGGCAAATTTTCCATAAATTTTCTTTTGTTTTCCATGTCGTTCTTCAAACTTTATGTTGTTTCCATTGGAAGCTACGACTGAGGCCATCACATACAGTAAATTACAAGTGCTGGCTGCAGGCAGGACTGAGCATCTTTTGGATTTTGCTCTTTAGCCAGAAAAGAAAGAGAGCAGCTGCTCTTAGTGATTTCTTGTTTTCTGTCTCTGCTTTTGCCTTGCTCCACGCCAGTACATGTGCCATGCAGTGAAAGGTCCTGTGTGGGTACTGAGAGATGCCACTTCTTCACCCTGCCAACCCTCCGGGCTCCTTGGAAACTACTTCTAATGTAAACATGATAAAGATATTGCTCAGTACTGCTAATTTATCACTTCTACCAGATGGGTAGTAAGTAGCCTATTAACATTCACAAAGTGAGTGTCCAATTCCTTCACATTTCTAAACACATCACCCTGGGATTCCTAAGATTTATGGCGTGGAGTTTTCCCATGTTCTGAGTCCCTTCGTGTGGCCTTCAGGCTCACTGAGATGTGCAGTGGCAGTAGGTAGTCGACAGAAAATACCATGCTCAGGTAGGTTTGGAGGTAGGAGGAAAGGAGAATAGGTGTGCAGGATGGCAATCTGAAAGAGTTTAAACTCTGGTATGTCTTTCTTTATTATCCCATGTGTAAGATCCAATCTTTTTGGATACTCACAAGTATTCTGTTAAGGTGAGGAGCATTATGCCATCATGGCTGAAGTGGTTATAAAGTCAAATCCGAAAGTTTGTGGTTCAAGAATGAAGAGGAAGAGAGGTTTGTGTGTGTTTTTACTTGTAGGGCTCTTAGATGATGAGTAGGTTTCTGAGCCCAGATATCTACCTCCAATATTGCCATTTTCCTAATAACACCCCTTACTCCAGCTCACTTCTTTTCTTGCCCTCCCCCAAATCCCAAGCCCCTTTGTCTGCCCCACAGAACAACTTCTCTGTCTTTATGGGATAATTAGTGTGGACAATTGCTGCTTTTCCCATTGGGTTTGAGGTGCAGTGAGCCATGAAGGAATCTGTAATGACATGAAAAGTCACTGGAGGCGCGGATGGTGGCTGAATAGCAACAGTTACCTCTCTGAATAGATTAAATTAAAAAAAATAAAGCTTTGTGTTCAGCTGGGGGAAGGGAGGATCCACTAATCTTTTTGTACATGACAATGTGTTTTTGTATCTCGGCAGCTCAAGGAAGAAATCAGGCGGGGCTTTGCAGGCCTGGAGGACCCACTGGCAGGACTCCTGGAGATGCTGGAGGGCAGCAGTGACTGGAAGGGGAAAGGGCATTCCCTGGGGTATTACATCACCACGGAGCTGGACCTCTGGATAAAAGAGCATCCTGCTGTTCAACAGGTTAGAGAAAGAGAGAGCAAGAGAGCTGGGAGAAAGGAGAGGACAATCGATTTTAATGTCCCTCATGTGTCCCTAGTGTCACTTCATTCCCTAGTCCAGCATCTTCTCTGTAGTCTCATACAAACGTGGTGAGATGAAGTGTGGAAGTTGTACTGAAGTGATGTTATCTGTTGTATGCTGGCCTGAAATAATATTGGAAGCTGGGTTGCGAGAGCTCTGTTTCCCCTTCCAAGCTGGGATTTCCATCTTCCCAGATCAAACCACATTGATCAAGCACTGATCTTGCAGCCTGTGCTGGGCTGGAGGCATTCCCACTGGAACTTGTGTCCTGCTGTCAGGATAGAACCAAGTGCAGTCATCTCCTCTGCATATCCTTCCAGTTCTGCAAATAGAAGCCAGTTACTGTGCGATTGCTTCACTCCTGCCATATGGTGGGGAGCTTTTACCATGGGGAATGCAGAAAATGGCAACAGGATGACTGTTCAGCAGCTGAATGATCAGCTTTGTAACATTGGGTCATCAGATTATGTGTCCTAATGTTTGCCATTCCTTAGGCCTTCACATATTCTGACCTCTGGAGGTTTTCCTTTTTTTTTTGTCTGCGTTTACCTCTGAACTCCAAGAAACTTTTGTATTTGTGTTGTTTCATTTCCCATTTTTCCAGATGACTTTTTAGATACTGAGCTCTGCCATTGCAGGATCTGCAAAGTGCAGGGAAGTGCTATAGGCACTGAAATTCCTATGTCATAAGAGAATGATCGTTTAGGAACACAAGGGTTAATAACTGCATCTGTGCATCTTTTGATGATGCTTTTGCTTTTCCTGAAATTCTTGCACCCAGGAGCAAGCCTGAGAATGAAAATTGAATTATTCTGCCTGATAGGTGAGATCTCCCTTGAGGGAAGTTGCTGGATTCAAAGGTTTTCTGCTGGGGACCAGAGGGGAGAATTTCTAAATAGTTGTGTTAGTCAAAAGAGGGCATTTTTCCAGTTTCATATTTTACTTTTGCACAAGGCCATGTGCCTTTTCCAGAATTATCCTGCAAACTTTTAATGTTCTTAAATTGGATGCTGTGAAAGATATTGTGTATCATACTGTTCTGATTTCTGCTTTCAGACTCCATGGAGAAATTGGAGAATCCCTTCCCAAGGAACTGGCTTATTCCAGTGTTTAAACAAGCTGCATTTTCAACTGCCATTGAATTGTAGCCATTTTACTAAGTCTGTTTGATTTTGATTTAATTTTTTTTTTTTAGTCTGGCATCAAGCTGAAGAAGCTGCAGGCTCGTGTACTTGGAATATTAGCCCAGTGCCCAGCTAATCTTCTTGACCCTCTGATTAGCATTTACCAGCTCCATACAGCAGACCGGAACTATTTGCTTGAACATGTCAGTCATCTTTATCACAGGGGCGATTACAAAGAGGTGGGTCATGTCTTTCAAATAAATTTACCTACCCAGCTCTCTAGCTCTGTTAATGTCTGTGTCCTTTTTTTGGATGCATTTCAATGTGAATTCCGTTTCATGGCAGCAGCTGCACGCTGTGAATGCTACAGCTTAGCGTGGTCTTCCCATGTACACGAGCAGGCTGTGCTCAACCTCATTTTTTCTAGTGGCTGGGTACAGAATGCCAGTGAATCCTTCCTCCACCCCTTCTTTGACCTTTGAAAGTAATAGGTTAATACGGTTTACTTCGGAGAATTTAAGGGGATGGTTGTGTTCTTTTTTTGTTTTGTTTTGTTTTCCCTGTCCTTGGCAAGTAAAGAAGGGATTTTAGTAGTTGGTCATAGACCTACTGTGCTATCTCCCAATCTGCCTGCAGCAAGGAGGGGTTGGAAAAATCTCTGTGCTCCCACATGATTACCCTGACCACTTCTCAGTTCGAGGAGTTTCAAAGCCTCCTTACCATTGAGGCTCATGGTCAAAATATGTTACTGCTTGTGTATTTGAGTTTGAGTGGCTGACGCTGGCAGGAGTTCATCAAACTCAGAATTTTATGTTTTACCCTGTGTTTTAGAGTATTTGCAGCATCTCTGGCATCACCAAGATGCCTTGGTAGCCGTGTGAGTGTTCTCATGAGCAAACTACAATACTGTTAATGCTTTTTAAAATGGTTTTTTTTTAAAGGCAAAAGTTATATGTTTGTTTTTCTCAAAGGAAGATAGTTCCTTGGTGTAGAACAGCTTGATCTAGTCAGCAAAAGGAGAAAATCAAACAGAACTTTAAAAATCCTCTTCTTCAGTAAAGCTGGATTCCTAAATGAGATCATGGAATTACATTCCTATTGATTTCTGTGAATACTGAAACAAGGATATTTCATATTTGATTAGAAGTTCATGGGCGGCTGCTCGAAACTTACTCTTTTGCTCAGTAAGTTTTGGCGCATGAGTGTTTGAAAACCCTAACAGGAGCATAGTATTTGGTTATATTCAAGTGTGATTTTTAAGTTCGTGGCTCCAAAGTTATTTATTGTTTTCATTAGAAATGCTGTTCTTTTGAGATCTGGTTTTGGAAAGCTCTAAATTTATTTTTTTTTTTCAGAATTGTTTCTCTGTTCTCTCTTCCACAGCAAAGCTCATTTACTAGTCATTCCCAGTGTGAAGAACAGGAAACCTCAACTGTTGCTTACCCTCAGCCATAACTTTCTTCTAGTTTTGTTTTGTTGCCAGAAGGATGAATAGAATTATCTTCAAGAATAACAGGAAATCTTTTACTGCCTTTGGGGACTGATGGTACCTAAGTTCACAGCAACTAACCCCCAAAAACCTGGAAGCAGGGCTTTGAGCACAAGCGGTGGGCTGTGACGTGTTGGTTCGTCCTGCTCTTCCCCCGCTTTCAGATGGGGCAGTAAAGCAGATTGACATGTGAGATTTTGGGCTCTTCTGTCTCAGCCTTTGAGAGGACAGAAACCCTTACAAATCCTTGCTGTCATTATTTGTTTTCTTGCTGTAGTTACAAAAAGACACCGGGCATGTGTTGCAGAGCATGTTATTCCCTTTGCCTGTTTGGATGCGTTTCTTACTGCGGTGTGCAAATCGTGGAGGTCCCCAGCTCTGCCACGTGGGTTGAGGCTCCTTTCCCTCACAGAGGTTTTGGAGAAAATGAGATCCCAGAGATCCCTGGGGACCTCCGTGGTGGCTCTGTGCTTCTGGGGCACCTCTGGCCCTGCCTGTACGCCGTGTTTGGGGAGAGACGGTCAAAAGCTGCAGCGGTTTGGGGATGGTGGCGGTTGGGAGCTCTGTGGTGTTGCAGGACACCACCGGCTGTGTGCGGGGCCTGGCGGGGTTGGTGGAAGACGTGCAGGTGGAGGTGACTTTATTCTGATTCAGCAGCATAAAATCGCAGCCGTGGTGAGGAGGCACCTGACGGGGAGCGCTGGCCAGCGGATGGCACTCGTGCTCCCGCAGTGCAGGGAAAGGAGCCGGTACAGCCTGAGGAAAAAAGCAGGGACTCCTACACGGGGTTTTGAGGCGTCTGGGCTGTTTGGGGTTTTGATCGGTTCTTTTGTGAGTGGAGTTTGCAGCTGCCGGAGCAGCGTGGGGCCTCGCGGGGCTCCCGGCTCCGCTCCTCGGCCCACGCGGCGTGAGGAGG